ACCCCCCTCCCTCCCACACCAAGGTCAAGCTCATGTGCAGCTACGGCGGCCGCATCCAGCCCCGCCCTCACGACAACCACCTCACCTACGTCGGCGGCGACACCAAGATCCTCTCCGTCGACCGCCACGTCAAGTTCCCCGCCCTCCTCGCCAAGCTCTCCTCCCTCGCCAACGCCCCCTCCCTCCTCAAGTACCAGCTCCCCGGCGAAGACCTCGACGCCCTCATCTCCGTCACCAACGACGACGACCTCCACCACATGATGCTCGAATACGACCGCCTCCACCACCGCTCCTCCCCGCGCCCCGCCCGCCTCCGCCTCTTCCTCTTCCCTCTCCACTCCTCCTCCACCGCCGCCGCCGCATTCTCCGCCGCGGACTCCAACCCCGACCGACAGTGGTTCGTCGACGCTCTCAACTCCGTCCAGCTTCCTCTCCTGGAAGGCTCCTCGCCGCCGCCGCCGCCGCCGAATCCCGATTTCCTCTTCGGATTGGACAAGCCGACGCCGGAGGACGCTCCGCCGAAGGAGAATTCAACTGCGGAGTTCGAAGAGAATCGCCAAGCGGTTAGAGAAACCCTACCCGAACCCGAACCCGAGATTAGGAACTTGCAAATCGGGAACAATAATAACGAGCAGCGGAAAATAAATAACGAGGAGAGCGCTAACGGCAGGGCTTACGGCGTTAACCAAAAGAACGCGGAGAGCGTGACGCCGTTAGTGGCGCATTCGCACGCGCAAGTGGTGCATCCCGGAACGGTGTCGTTTCTGCAAGACAGGAATAACGGGGGTTATTCGCTGGCCATGCCCACCTCGGGGAACGAGATTTATCTCATTCAGACGCCTTCTGGAATGTTCCAAGCAGTGCGGCCTGTTACCGGACCGGTGGGTCAACCGGTTTATTTTGTCCACGCGCCCGGTTCAGTTCGTTACAGTGGTTCCGAGGCTGCATCGGCGCCGGAGCACGGGTTCTCGGCGGCGGGTCGCGGCGGCGCGCGGTGGTGATATAGGAATGAAGGTCTTTGATTTGTTCGTTTTTTTGTTTTGGTACAGTGCGGGGTGATATTGGTTTTCATTTTTGATTGTGTGGGATTATATTGGTTTGTTTTGGACATTGTTTCTTGTGCATAGGTGCGTCATAGTGAAGAAGGGATTCAGGAATTGTTTTTGAGTTGAGAGTCTAATTAGTACTTTCAAATCAGTATATTGCTTTTTGTGTCAGTGATCTATTGACTAATTGTCTCCCTTATTCTTTCAGGATTATTCTTTTTGAGTTCCATAATTCCATCCGTGTTTGTCGTTAATTGTTTACTGTACTCTTTTTTTTAATATATAGACTACAGAAAAACACAGTAAAATAATTACATTTCCTGTGACCAACTTAGCCCAATTTTTTTTTTATGCAAAATAATATTTGTCTAACAATTTTATATATCATTGTATAATTGCTGTACGTGTATCGTATTTTAGTTGTATTTTTTAGACTTGTCTGCTATTCAGAGGAAGAGAAACTATTTTTCTGGTGCTGTATGTATTTTCTATAACTTGAAAGGAGAATCGAGAGATAAAAAATCATAAAAACTATAATAAAGGTATTGTATAATGTTTGGCGAACCCATAAACAATACAAGCTTTGGGATTGAAACTACTTCTCTCACTGCCCTTTGCTAATTTTTTTGAGGCATCATTTCTTTAATTTAAAGGATAGGAAAGCGACGGGAAATATAAAATAATTTGTTTTCCAACTCGAATTGATAAAATATTGTTAGTTTTAGAATGCATGTATGTTCGTGCTGTGCAGCAGGGTTATGCCCCTTCTAACCAAAAGAAAAGTATATAAACTATAAATATATTATTTTGATTTAAAATTTAAAATTCTGGCGACACTTTTTACAGGTACATGATTAGGTGACTAAGCTAGCTAGATTAGTTGGTATTATAGACTGAAAAGTACACTACAAATGGTTTGTGTCATGCTTGAACCGGTTATACCAAGGTGGCAGTACCTTGAAAAGTCATCTACGTACACATGTGTCTAAACTTCCATGAATTTTTTATTGTATAGTTATGCTTGTCAGACGAGCGAGTTGCATGAACAAAAGTGTTGTTGAACACCCCAACAACACACCTACGAAATTATGGACCAGTGGTCTATCTGGGAATTTTCTAGAGGAAAGGGACATAAGACATAACATTTGGCAAGATCCCATGTCTGTATTTTTCCGCAGCTTTTCTGATTTTCTTTTTATGCATTAGTCCCATTCGCTTTCTCACGCAGATGACTGAAATCAGGAAAATTAGATAGAACAAATGCAGATAATATGGCAGGCAACACCAGCCACTCTTCCTTGATCTGTTCACCAAACAAATTTTAAAAATGACACAAAAGAGTGATGTTAGAAGGAACAAGTTTAGATCAAGAAGAGATGTTTTCTGACGGACCAGTAAACTACCTCCAGAGATCCATATGTCAAATCCATCAAAGCTACTGCTTTTCCATAAGGATATTTTTTAGAGAATTCTACTGCTGTCATGAAGCAATTTCCTTCTTCATTTCCATAGTATCTAGTTTCAAACTCCAATTTTCTACCTGGAAAAATAATCACCTGGGAAAAAACATGTATTACGATGAACATAATATTGAACCTTAGATTAATGCATCTCTAACACAAGTCCCATATCAACTGAGTGGGATAAATTATATACTGGTAATAGATTTAAGAGTCTAAAGACAAGAATAAGGTTACCTTCCGAGTGCCTGTGAGCTCAAATACATGTTTATCTTCATCGCTGGTCTTTTTTATCTGTAACATCCAGTCAGAGTTCATCATAGACCACATTGTTCCTTTTAATTCTGCAAGAAGATGAGTTTCACCAGATGCAGTCCTGCCAATCACTTCTTTGTTGATATTACTCTTTGTCTTCTCAGTTGACAAGTTCCTATAAGCAAAAACAACATTGCAACAGAGCATCAAACTTAGTTCCCAAGCAGATGACCCAAAAATTAAGCAAATGCAGTTAGCCCATTCACAGTATCTTCAATTAAAACTACATAAATCTAACATATGCTATTTAAAAAATCAATAGTGCCTCCAAATTCCCAAGTTTATGGTCTTATCCAAATAAGAACTTGTTCATAGGATGCATTACAAGCTCATTTCACTCGTCAAAAAGCAATGATAATAGAACCGCCTTTTTAATCTAACTGTAATGGTAAAACTTGAACTCCTAGTTTACCATTCATAACTGCTAAACAACTCAGCCAGTGATATTTTGAATTTCACATGTCAATTTGGCTTACCCTTTCTGGATGCTGATGATTTCATTGCCAGCTTCATCCACAACATTTGTCCAATATTTTATTTGTTGGAACTTTCTAGGAAGCAGGAAGGAAAAGTAACTTCCTTTGAATGGATGCGTGGAAAGAAAGTGCAACTCATATGGTGCTGAAAACGGAGGAGTTAAAGACAAGCCAATGCGAATGCTAATGGGCTTTGACCAATTGATTGCAGATGTCAAATCTAACCACTTCTCTATTGGCAATTTAGATGCTACATTTTGCAAATCATCCATATTGATTGAAGTTTTTCCCAATACTTTGGTTGGCCTTACTATTCTAAAGCTGTGACTTGGGTGTGAAATGAGTTCAAGGACCAACTCTCCTTTACTTTCACAATGGAAAACAGCAACTTGTTTCCCTTGTGACTCTGAGGAAATACGTAATTGCTTCTTGGTATTGAAAACTATATCTTCTTGTTTCTTCTTGAAGGATACAACTAGCTTGCCTTTATGCCCGGATGGTAAGTTTCTCACATCAACAATCTCAAGCATTACCTGAATAAGAATCATGAACCCAAAAAGTTACAACTTACAACAGTTGATGCCCAAAAAACATGTGACAAGTTACAATGGCTAGTGCCTTCTCATGTGACATAGAAAATAGCAGAGGAAATATAGGAGGCTACCTGCACAAGCATTTTCTGTGGAATCTGAATCATATTCTGGTTTGTCTTATTGGATGGAGTAGAACTGTTGTGTATAGCATCTATTTTATACTTGTCAACAGTAAGAGGGGATGGTGGATTACCCCTGTACATTGCTCCTGCCCTCCAGTATCTTGAACCAAATGTCTCTTCCCATTGTGTGGTAGTTTCAGAAAAGCCAACATCCAGCTTTTGGCCCTTGGTCCTATCAGAATCTGTGTCATCATGTTCTAGCACTTTGCCCATTATTGCCACTAGATCGTTACAGTAAGACGCAGGATGCAATTGGTGAGAGTGCCAGATTAGGTCAATGTCATAAGTTGGAACACAGAAGCGATTTATACGCCTTTCTCTGTTCCTCTTGATCAAATGCAGAAACCCCTTGTATCTGGCTACAGCTCCTTCAAGAAAAGTATCTTTATTCCAATAAGGCCTGGAAACCTGTCATTAAAGTTGGAGACTAATGGATAAGAATAAGCTGGTACGTTTGCAGTCATTTTACTGATAAAAGTAATTTCAGTATGTACTTTACCTGAATGCAAATCTCCTTTACTATAATTGAAGTGTCACTCCCAAACTAATTTACTACTGTACTACATAGTAATTTTGCTACCAATAAAATGTATGATCAACTAGTTATGAGCATTGGACACTGGCTTATTTCTTTATAGTACAGTTTGTAGGTTTGGTAGGTATTGACAAAACATGGCACTGTAAATCTAAATTTCTTAATTACCTGATAGAAGAAAGTAGTCTGTCTTTTAACTGCTGAAATCAAATTATAGTTGGTGGTGGTACTTTCTTTGGCTTCCAATACTTTCTCAGCAAAATCTTGCACTGAGTCATTGTTCAAATCAAGTTCATATGGCTCACTTGGATACATTGTCTCCCAGTGTTTCTCACTTTCATCTTTGCTGGTTCCCTGAGTTGAAGACACCACATTCGAGTTGCCTAGTATTCTTCCATACAGTTCCATGCAGTCAGTCTTGTAGCGCACCTGACAAATATGTGCACACGTGTTGAAGGGTAATTCCACAATTTCAACATATTTTTAGGAAACAAGTTCACAAATTAAGGGAAAGGAGAAAATTTACATACAATTTCATCGATACCATTTATGTTCTTTAATCAGAATTAAAATTTCAATTCAGTAATCCATGTCTGTGTAATAAAGGTTTTCATTAAAAAATTATGCAAATTATTGAGATGAAACTCTAATTTTGATTGAAAATCAGTATCTAAGTTTCATATAGAGAAAAAGTACGCGTGATTTTGATTTTCGAAGCTCAAGCTTACCGGATTAAGCCTATGACAGTGCCAAATCCATTCACAATCAAGAGGCACAACCAAAGGGTCTTCTGTCACTGGTGACTCAGCATGTTTGGCTAGTAAAGGAAGCCAACAATATTTATACCTACATTGATGAACAAAGACATGCACAAACACTAACAATTAAATAAAGGTGAACTTACAACAGAGAAAACATACAGTTTACAGACACCGACAGATATCCTTGATTTCAGTTACATGCCTATGTAATAGTTCCTAAAATTACTGAGTACTAATTAATCTAGTCTCTAAATTTATAAATATACCATTTTATTCATTAAAATTATCAAACGTCAACTATGTTAATCTTTACTTTTTGGATTAAAATAATTGCCAATATCATTTACTAGTTAACAAACAACAATAACCATTGTTTAAAACTTTGTAATATAAAAACTAGTTACAATTTCAGGAAATAACTAGGTGTATTGATTATAAGGGTATTTATATATATACCTGTAAGTTGCTCTGTGTAAAACTGGGCCATCATAAAGGCAACGATTCCTATCAACCTCTGCCAGAAACAGAAGCTGTTGTTTAGCCGTGGCTACGAGGTCTTCGCTTAAGAACATATTCTGGGCTTCGGCCCACTCCAGCTCTTGCTGTGTCTCCATTAGAAATTAGAACTATTGGTGGCTCAACATCACCTTCAAAACTATGCAGGACAAAGAGATCATGGTAGACAACGTTTAAAACATTGAATCAACTTGGCAACGAAGGTTCCTTAACTTTCAGTTCTTTTTTCCTCCCAATTACCCAACACTGTCAAGTTTTATGAATTTCCCTTCTCAGTTGTTATTATGTACCGGCCACCAGGTTAGAACGAATAAAAGTCTCAGTTGAAACTTCGTAACATAAGCCACGCGGATACTAGGATCATAATATTTGATTAGATAAAGGATGTTAAATGGCTGACCCAAACTGCACCTTAATTGACCAATAACTATCATTCATTTTATCGCGTGTCATGTTTATTATATATAATTAAAAGTTTAAATATAATTTTTGTTTATGTAATTTATTATTTTTTATTTTTGTTTTATTTTTAATCTTTTTATACCATTTCAAAAATAATCTTTATCATTAATATTACAAACTAAATATATATTATATTTGTTGTATTTTACATTACTATTATCACATAGGTAAATTAATTTTTATTTTTTTAAATAATTTCAAAATACATTTCAGTGCAATTAAATCCTTACTCTCACCCAAAGATTTATTTTAGTTACAAGATAGAATAAGCCAAACAATATAAATTAAAAAAGCAACAAAGCTAAACACGAGGCACTAAAACTCACATAGCATCAAAACCTTCACTTGATGATGGTTCCTCCTTCGCCAAAAAAACTGCACTCGCATTTCCTTCACGCAACACATGAACAATGTTACAGTTCTAATTCCTTCCCACCGATTTCTGAATTCACTCAATATATGTTGCATATCTATGAAGATTGTTAGTCGTCCCTATAACTAGTTAAACCATGCACAAACAATCTGTCTGACATAGCACATGAGAAAACCATGTACAAACAATCTATCTGACATACCACATGAGAGTCCACATTTCCAGCAAATCTCCAAGCCCTTAAACTAAAGCCATTATTTTCGCATGTTTGGAATGATAATGTGAGTTGAACCCGGTGGATCAATTCGCTAACTTGCCTAATTTTAGTTAGTTAGGTTGGACAAATAAATCCATTAACTAGTTTAACCCATCCCACTAACTTAATGAGTTCAACTTGTCAATTTGGTGGGTCAAACTGTCAACCACTTATTTTTTTTTTTTAAAAGATAAATTTGTAGTGAATTTATGTTAGGCCAATTTTTTATTTCTTATTTTAACTTTTTTAAGGTAATTATTCTCATTTTATATGAAATAGAAGTATATTGTTTTAATCACATTTTGTTTACTAGTACATTTTTATATATAATATCTTTTTTTTAATAGAAATATATATTACTTAGTCTTTTTTATGAAAAATATAATACCTCTAATTAATTTTACAAATAATGATAAAATATAGGTTGAAGTAATAATGTATATTGAAATATTTCGATTGAGGTTTTTTTTTTAAAAAAAAAAATCAGGTGGGTCAACTTGTCAACTTATCATTTTTAATCCACCAACTCACTAAAGTAGGTCAACCTAACAACTTATTGCTAAGTGGGATGAGTTGCATTTTTCAACTCATTTTTTTTTTTGTGGACTAACCTACTCCGTCCCGCACTTCTTATTTGATGGGTTAACTTGCCTAGTCCCATCTTAGGTAGATTAACCCACTTTTCCATCCCTAACTATTAATGTTACCAAAGAAACCAAAAATGAACTTTAATGTGTGATCACTCACAAAAAGCATCGAAACTCGCCTCTCTTAAATTACCCATAACACTATCATCCACAATAATTTAGATAAATTTTTTCAAAATATTTGTATCAATTAAAATAACTTCTTCGTAATTAAAATCATCTTATACATTTATAAGTGAGTTCAAAAAAAAAAAAAATATATATATATATATATATATATATATTACCTTCTCCAAAATGTTAATTTTAACATAGGTATAAGTTAATTTTGCTCTATAAAATTTATTTGAATTATTTTTTCTTATTTATCTTTTATAGAATAATTTATTCGGATAGGTTCAAAATTGAATAAAAAATTAACTCAATTTAACTTGTGATGAGTTGACCGTTACAAATAATAATAATAATAATTCACAAGTTAATTTATCAAATAAAAATAATTTAAATATAATTTTATAATCACAAAATATGATTTTATTAAATTATCTTAATATATTTTTTAATAAATTATTATTGTGAATTAAATAAATATAGAATAAACGGAAAATATAAAATATTACATCTAAGAAAAAATTATATAGATTGAGTTACACCGATTGTTTGCTAATTACTCAATTCAACCTGTTTAGTGGGTTAAATAAGTTGAAAGTGGGTTGAAATCTGCTTCAAATCCCTAGACTAGAGCGCGGATGTTTGATGCAAAATCTTCTATCAAAACTTCTTGATTCTGGCAAAGAATACAACTGATGTGTTTTTTTTTTTTTTTTTTGGAACAGAAGTTTTTTGATTTTGTTTTTCCATGGACCAACAAATGCACTTTGTTGGTTGTTTCACGATACGTGTTTCCTTGGATTTGACATAATTGATTGGGTCAATATCATAAGTTGGAAATTTGATACTTGTTTTGGGAAACTTTTGAATGATACCAATAAATTATTGGATGCGTGATTTGTTTGGAGAGGCAAAGGTGAATGAATTGAAGGCAAAATAATAATAATAATAATAATAAGGAAGAAATGATTTCATCATAAAATAGATAAATAAATAAAATGAAAATGATAGTTATTTAGTAAAATGAGATTAAGTGAGAACTAAAGAGAAATTTTTTAAAAATTGTAATTTTATGTAGTTAAAAATTTATGTATAGATAAATAATTTAGAATTTCTCTTTTTGACATATAATATTTGATTTTAAAATTTTTGATATAATTTAGTAGTATAATCAATTATGCTAGTTGATGTAATCAATTATGTTACATTGTTTCTAAGGAGCATTTTAACTGTATAATTGACTATGTAAACAATTGCATAATAGATTTTGAAGTTTTGCCAACCATAGTTGATTATGGTAATTCTCATGCACAAATAAGATGTCATGATAATGGATTAGAATCCTATCATAGTTGACTATGGTGATTTCTAGCACACAAATTATAAAGTTCTAAGTTTTCAAAATAAATTAATAAGAATTTTAAATAATTAATTGATTATTTTATAATTATGAGAGTTATTAAATATATTGAAATATTTTAAAATTTCTTGTTATTAGTTAATTATAAGAGAGAAGTAAGTAACTATGGTTAATTTATTTTATTGATGGGTTAAATGTAAGTTAGGGTTTTTGAATTTTCTTTATATAGAAAAGTTACATTAGAGTTGTCTCATGCGTCTCATATATTTTTTTATCTATGTTTGTATGCTCTAAAGAGTTGAGAGAAATGGAGGCATTTGGAGATGATCTAGAGATCTACACCCAACATTTGGTATTCACTGAGGTAAGAGGAGAATAAGTAATCTCACTCTAAAGTGTGAGTTATCTGTAGGGTAGCTAGATTGACCCTTAATCTTGTTTTGTTTATGTATATTGTGTGAAGGGAAACCCTAAATCATAATTATAACTCGTGGTTCTATATTTCATGTTGTTCTTATGTATTCTAAGTATAATAATTGATAAGTAGTCATGTTTATAGTTATATAACCACATATAATCATAAAATATATGGGTGCCTATAGATTTCTATGGGAGTTATAAGGAGTGAATAATCTAAATTTGTAAGGAAGGATGTATGTGAGAGTGTGGATTGATGGTTTACTAGTAATTAATTATGTTTGTCATACATTTTTATCGATTGAAACTTGTTTGATTGTTTATGGGTTGCTTTGTGTGATTTTTCAAACTTGTTTTAGAAGCGTCGTTCTTGATATGATGTTAGGTGCCATGAGTTGCCATCGAGTGTGATAATGAGAGAGCAAGGGGTACTTTATGTGATGTTGACAATGGGCATGAGAAGGTTTACATCAAGCGAGGGAGCTCCAAGGACTCCTTGTTGTGAATTCGTTGGGCACAAGAGGGTTATGCCAAGTGAGACCTCTCTAAAGAGAGAAAGGTGAGCTCTTTGTCTAGATTGCGGGGCATAGGATACCCCACGCTAGATGTCACCATGTTCTTGTGTATATATTGCCTTATAAATGTACTATGATATTTTAATGGAATGAATGTATTGAGTTATTGTTGTTTGTAGGATAAGATTCTAAGAATAATTTATTGTTGATAATAGAGACATACAATATGTTGTGTGCGAACCATGTGATGGTTATATGATGTAAACTTTAAGTTGAATTTAGCCGCATGAAAGTCTAGGTGAGATTGTCTAGCCAATTGTGCTAACTATGTTGCTTGAAATAAGTAATAATATAGGGGATTAGTATGTTATGATGAATGTGTGGAACATGAATTTGCATAGAGTATGGTATGACATACATTATGTATATCAATTGTTTTTGTGATGGGTATGATGCAAAATATTTAGCTAGAGAAGGTATCCTTTATGTAATAGTTTAAGGATTCATGACCTTAGATAGTTAGGTTTGAGAGTCCTAATTCTATCCATTCTGTGTGTGGGGTGTAACTTGGCCAACACTATTATCCCAATGCACCCTGATGCATACCCTCCTAATGTAGAGTGTTGTAATGCCTTGACCTGACTTGTTCTCCTAGGCTACTCTAATTTGGTCTTCAAGCAATAGTTAAAATATCTATGTCCATTACATCATTATGAATATAATTGTCGAATGTTGAATAAATGTGAATTATCAATATAACTCATGTTGAATTGTGTAATTATCGGGATGTTTGATTGTGCAATTATTTATCAATTGATTTTTTATCTATATGTGGTGTTGTTAAGTCTCAATTTTACCTCTTTTTGGATGAGACTTATACAAGATTTAATGATCAAATTCTTCCATTCTTTGTATCATTGCATTTTAATTGTTCTCATTTTGGTTTCTTTTGTATATGCAGGTATTCAAGTAGAGAATTGAGGAAAAAAGGGTTAAAGGAGTGGAAAACCTAAGAAGCTAAGGAGCAGAGAAGAGGCTCTGCGCCGGGCTCAATATAATCTGCGCTGGGCGTGACAAAAACAGAGTATTTCATCTCTGCCAGGAATTAAGCCGGGCGCAAAAGGAATTAAGCCGGGCGCATTAAGCCGGGCGCAAAAGGAATTGCGCCGGGCTTGTGCTGAGACAGAGAGTGCTTGACTTCTCTGGAAGAACTTGCGCCGGGCGCGAAGAATTGTGCGCCGGGCGCGGAACCCTAATCTGATCTCCCAGGCTCGTATTTAAAGCCATTTTCGGGGTTCTTTTCCCCAATTCGCCCAGGGGCGCCTCCAGGAGCTCTGCAGGAGGGATTCTCAGGCTTCGGAAGCCTCCCACGGTGGATCATTCCTTCGGTTCTTCCTTTCCTCTTCCATCTCTATTTTAGTTTTCCCCTCTTTGTTTTGAGAGGTTCTATCCATTGTATTGGGGTTTTGATGTAACCAACAAACTCTATTGTAATCCTTTTGTGTTTAATGTTATATATGTTTTGTTTCATTCCTTGTTGTGTATGATTCTATGCTTAATGCTTGCTTTGGCTTGATCACCCTTTGCATGATTTAAGGTTTCATTGAGTATTGGGAAATATCCTTGAAACTAGTTATGAACATATGCCTAGTGGGAATTGTACCTAGGGATAGGGCTTGACCCATTAGTAGTCTTAAAACCCTAACCGGTAATGCGGGTGGAGGTATTGAGTACTCAAGGGATTGATATTCAATATTTTGCACCTAGGCTCTTTCTCTAAGGAATTAGGTCTGAGTAAATTTATGGTTGACTGAACAATGAATGTAACAAGAGACATAGGATTCACTAGTGTTTGTTTGGTGAAATCAAACCCCCACAACTTCAAGTGTCCATTTTACCATTTCTCACTCCATTTCATTTCTAATCCATTTATTTGTGTTTTAACAATTCCAGTAGTTTTGTTCTTAAAT